CTAAGCGCTAACAGTTCATTCCTCTTTCCTCTGAGGTTCTTAGCTTTTCTCAGCTTTTTTTAGCTTTTCAGGTCGTGGCTGCTGATAACGGTATATTTGACAAAGACATATTACTGACTGAGAAGCAGGCTAATTTTCTGCTCAATGAGCTCGGAAAAGCCGGTGAAGGAACAGATGTACCTCAATCAGGAACGAAATTTAAAAGGTATACTGTAGTTGGTTCATCAAAGATTATCAGTATGTAGGGTCTGAATGTTCTGTTGTTAAAGTACAAGACTTTTCTAAACACAAGTTCACTCTATAACTTACGGCAACGGCTCTACGATTCATTGCAGATGTTAGTTTTACTCCGCGCCAGGCCGTCGATTGAGTGGAGTAAACAAGTAACTCGTTTTTTGACAGTGGACGGACCACACGAGAAGATGAAGAACGGCAGTGGTTTCAATAGATCGTTTAGAACACTAACTCTTCGAAGAGACTGGGCCTTGCAATTCTAGTTCACATTACCAGTGTATGAGGGATATCTGCTCTCTACTAAATCCTTGGGGACGAACTGTATGCGCTGGCGGAGACTCTCTTGTGGGGGTGGCATTGATAGTGGTAGCAGCCGCATTTTCCACGGCAAAGCTTACCCCGCGCGAAGGGTTAACATTGAAGCTATTGCTCAGTTACGAGATCTCTCTCGGAGCGTTTCTACTGACTGAACACTTTATGCTTTTTGATACCTACGAAAAACAGTCATGATCTCTGCAACCGATAGGGCATGTGAAAAGCGCACAGCTTGGAGCGCAGCCAAATCAGATAACCCATCAGCTTTGTCGGCCTCAAGATGGCACCACTGGTGGAAAAAGGGCACCTGGCCGCACTGCAATCCGCGCCGCGTTCACGCCCTATCGTCTGCATGGATCGTGACTGTATAATATCTTCTGTGTATCAGACAATTCATCATGGGTACTAGTTTACTGTATTTTAGAGCATCAATTTTCTTCGAGGATCATCCTGTACAGAAATGGGATTTGCGTTCGCCAATTCCCTATACATTCGATGCATCTTTGGGTGAGTCGAGCAAGTAGTTATTGCTTTGCTAAAATATTTTCTTCATAAACTCCTTATTTCCTCAAGAAACGTCCTTTTGTGTATTTTTGATTGCTTCATCTGCCCTTCTGACTGCTTTATGTGGACTTAATATCACTTCTCAAACATTTTTCCCTTTCAGCCGAAGTCGACAAAGATGACGTTAGAAATGCTTTAAAAGAGATCGAAGAGAAATCATGTATCCGTTTCGAGTATGTGGCCACAGCACCGAATGGATATCATATAAATTATCAGAAAGTGGATAGTGCAACATTGTAAGTGTTGAGTGTTATGTGATCAAGATTACGATTAGACGCACATTCCACATTGGTCGCATGGGTGGAGACAGTCAGCTATCGCGCCATTCTCACTGCCGCGTCCCTTCCTCTCACTGCACAGTTCTTGAAGGAGAGACGCGCCAGTGAGGAGTACGCAGTGGTTGGCTATTTGTAAGCAGGTTGGCTATTTGTAACTGTAATTCTGTGGTAGAGCGTGGTAGCCGCGGTTCGACTAGCCGTATATACAGTCGTCATCCGGGCACTTGATTAGGCGGCCAAGGGTCGCGACGCGGCTGCGGCGCGTCACGACCGCGGCGATCAGCTGTTTCCAGCCTGGTTTAGCCATTTTCTCCCTAATTTTCACTGTTTTGGCTGCTTTTCTCGAGGTTAATTGTTCCTTGTCTTCACAAAGTAAATAATGATTGAGATTTCTCTAATTTCTGCAAACAATTAAACAAATACCTAAAAAAATTGCAAAGACATTTCATTACAAGAACAACAAAAGGATCCGCGTCCTTAATACACTTCATGAAGGCAATAGCACAACTTACCTTGAAAAAATAGAAAATACAGTGAAAACTAGGGCGGAAAACCGGCTGGAAACAGTTGATCGCCGCGGTCGTGACTAGCCGCAGCCGCGTCGCGACCCTTTGAAGCCTAATCAGCTGCTCGGATGACTACTGCACCCGATTACATGCGCACAAGGTGCAGTCTAACTGCTGGTAATGATGCAAGGGAATTATGCTCTTTCAAAGCCATTGCATCCTGTGCTGTCATTCAAAAAAATCAGTATTTTTAGCGCTGCGGTCTTTCGGTACGATGTTGTCCCCGCACGTCGAGCCAGCGGGAATCCAGTTATATCTCAGTTTTCAGGGTGGAAACGGTGTTACGTTTCAATTGAGGAATAGCTTGTTGAGTAAAGTTTTTTTTTTCATTTTTACTTTTCCTCAATAACGGGGTTAGAGCCAGGAATAAGCGCGCTGTAAGCCGGAACAAACGCTAGACAACAGTTTCGGTAGGCGGCCTCAGGCCGGTATCGTTGATTGTGCGGCCGACCATCGCGGGGAGGGGGTTGTACTTGACTGTGTGTTGTAAAAGAGGTGGTGCCGTGATCTGAGTATTAGCAGAAACGTTTTCGAGCGGTGAGAGGAATTTTTTTTTCTTGTCCCACGCCTCCACCCCACGACGATTTTCTTTAGGAAAAGACTGGAGATTTTCTTTTTTTTGGTAAAAGTTGAGAGTTGGATTGGATGAATTGTGGAGGGCTCGCACCGACAGAATAAGCTTAGGTTCGCGGTTCGTCTGAAACTCCATCTCTCCTAGCTCGACGATGTACCCTGGGTGCACGATCCGCGGCTTGGGCGCCCCTTACAGGGGGCTGCTCTGGTTGAAGGCTGGGTCCCTCTACCCACAACCCTAACTCGAGTTCCACTCATGAAAGCTCTCCCTGGGACGCTGTTCTCACTTTCCTCACACAGCTGTAAGAATCATCGATTTGTGAGATTCAAAACAGAAAAAAAAACTCGGCTGAAGCACTACCTAGCAAATTTAGGCGAGAGGTGTTGCCTTACATGAAACCCTTCATGCACTTGGATTGAATCATGAACATCTACGAAGTGATCGCGATGAACATGTCACGATAGATTGGAGCAATATCAACCCACAACACTATGACTATTTTGTTATTGCTGACTCGAAACTCTACACCACGTAAGTTCATCTGGAAATAACAACTCAAAAATTAAGAGATTCACCCATGGGAGTCTCTTTCGCGGGTTTGGCGCTACACCAGTCTCTTCTCCGCCAGTTGTGCAAGCTGATAGGCGACCACAGTTGATGGAGAATAGGAGCCTGGCGCCGCGCCAAGTGTCAACCCTCTTGAAACGCGTTAGCGTCTGTAGCGAAGAACGGTTGTATGAGCAGTAGACGCAGAGCAGAAAAAAGTGAACTGCTCTCAGCAGCATAAATCAAAGCAGTTTCTTTTTCACTGGTTCTTCAGTGTTTCTTTTTTCAACTGTGTCTGCTGAATAAGTGCAACTTTTGTAGCTTTTGTTAAGGGCGTGGAGTAAAAAACCTACTGTACCAATTCTTGAGCCAGTGAATGCGCACGATTTTCCAGTACGATTAATTGAAATCAACTTATCGGGGATTTGTTACACATTCCTGAATCTCTCAAACCCTGAATGAAGCCATTTTGCTATCCATTTCAGTGTTCTACGCTAGCTCTCCAGTGTTTATCAGGATGCTTATGTACCACATGTGGCTTACACCTTGGTTATTTTTAGGCGCCCCAAACAAACATAGGATTCAGTGAGGGGATATCCACGTTACAATGACCTACAGCAATCGATAGCAGAGCATTTTTCTACCTTGTTGACTCAATATACGGCCTCATTTCCACGTAAAAGCCAAGAGGCACGATAAGTCGGCAAGGCGTATAGGCGAGATACGTATTGTGATCTTCAGCAGGGGCTACGTGGGCCTCTTCCAGTCAAAGGCACCATCATAGAAAAACCAAAGTGCATCATACCGACCCGAACGCCCACTGCAACCGCCCGCCCACAAGTGGCCGGACCGTCACATCGCTGGTACACTTATAGCTCAAATTATGAGGTACAATTGCTATGAAGCTTTCTACAGTTATATATGAGTACAAATAAGCAGCCTTATCTATCAAAGCGATTGTTGGCGTGATGCCAACGGGGAACTCGAAAATGCTCGTCCAGTGCCGTGCAGAACAAATTTTTCTTCTAGGATTGGGCCGTTTAACTTTGCTTTTCGTCATTTTCCCGCTATGTATCAGCCCTGCTACTATTTTTGAGCAAGTACCGAATTATCGTGTCTTATGCCTTTAAACTCCTGATGTGAATGCCGTGACTCTGCTTGTAATGCCACTCTCGCTGAGAAGTCGTAACATGGACCTCTCACACTGCACCAACAACTATGAGATCAAACTTGCTTTTCAATGGAACTTATATTTCTATTTATAGGTACGGTATAAAGTATGACTACGGAAGCATAATGCACTATAACGCGTATATGGCAGCAGTGAACATCGCAAAACCCACCATAAAGCCTAAGGTACTGCCATTTACTCCATTTTGACATGAAGAACATCAACTGAGCGTTGTTTCATAGTACAGGTGGACGAGAAAGCATCGCAACTATATGACACGTCCAGCTAAATGAAGGCGTTGACCGGTTGGCGCTGAACATTCTTCTGCGTTGGGTGTGGCCTATGCGATCACTCGGGAGGCTACCTGAGGTTCAAGTAGTTGCTTTTATTCTCCCAGTGGAATCTGGACCGATCTACCGGCTCTGAAGAGACGGGAGGACTCTGCTGTACGGGCGAGATTCGATCCTGGTTTTAACCTCCGCATGGTAAACGTCGCTACATGCCTCTAGGTTACCTCTGTCAGGTTCATACTTAGCGCCAGCGCCCCACATGGTCTACCAACGTCCACCAGCAACCACTAGCGTTCCGAGCGTCCGCCAGCATCAGCGACTAGGAATGTAGATATCGAGCTAGCGTCTGCGAGCGTCCACCAGCGTCTGTCAGCGTGTCGAGGACTAGGGAAGTGTAGTGATTGATCTAGCGCCTCAGCGTTTACCAGCGTCCACCAGCGACCACGAGTAGAGAGTATGGGGGAGCAGGAGGCAGCAAGCAGCTTTATAAGGTCTGCCGTCTAATTTGCGGAGTATGCAGCCGCACCGTGCAAGTACTCTACACCGTATATTAAATTGTATAAATCTGTGCTAGCAATTGCGATTGCACACGCCGCAATTCCACGACGCCAAATCCAGCTGTTTGCTACCCTCCTACTTCCACATACTCTCTACTCCTGATCGCTGGTGTGCGCTGATGACGCTGGTGACGCTGGATGGACGCTGGAAGGCGCTAGATCGATGCCTATGCTTCCCTAGCCCTCGAGACTCTGGCCGAAGCTAGATGGATATCTGTACTCTTTCAATCGCTTGTACTGCCGGACGCTCGGAACGCTAGCGGTCGCTGGTAGACGCTGCTGGACGGTGCCGTAAACCATGAATGCAGCCTCAGGTTTAGCAGGGATGGAAACTAAGACTTGACAGCGAAGGACCAGTAACTCTACTTGTTCCCTCATTTGCTTGGGTTCTTACCAACAGATGGCATTAGCCAAGGAAGTTCGCTACGATTTTCCCTCGTTTCAACAGACACTGGCAGGTAGTGCAGGTTTAGGCTATTTTCTCGTCATCAAAAAGACGAGTAAATTGCAGCCTCAGCTTTCAGGCGCTATTTCTCAGCTGTTCATGAAGAATAACTAATGGAGGTCATTTTACAGGTAAATGAAGCCGAAAATATTGGATTATTAGGCCAGCGAGAAAAGATGAGTGCAGCAGATGTGGAAATTCTCAACAAAATGTACTGCATGCCAGGTTTGTATGTACCTTAACTTCAGGGTCAAGCGTATGTCGAGGAATCTCTGAGCACGGTCAAGCATCGCGTTGAGGAAGACTGGCCCGTCGTCCCCCACCCCCTCACCCCACCTTGAAAAAGGATACCAATACGACCGCCCCCAGCGATTGCTGCTTTCAGGAATTTTGTCTTGTCTGCCGAATGTGACCTCTGCTAGTTTCAACAGAGAACTTGAACTTAAAGTGTAGTCCGCTTTGCACCAGCTGCGACGCGTTTCGCCACTGGAGCGCAATATTTTACTGAATGTTATCCTGATGCTATTTGAAAAGGCTGCAACTTCCATCAGAAAAAGCATTTTCAAAGCGAGTCGATTCGTGGTTTTCGAGCCCCACTCAACTGGCACTTAACTAGTTGCGAGGAAGGTATTACGGCTTCCCATCAAGAGTATCGATGATACTTCCTTGAACATGGGAGTTTTCAACATTTTTTCACAATTTCAGGGGCTATAACCTTAGTAGAGCGAGACCACGTCAAAGCATGAACCTTTGTAACAAGTAGAGATTTTTTCATCCAGTGATCCCGAAATATTGGCTAAATTCCATTGTTTCAAAAATTGGTCCCCGAGGAATTTTTCCGATTCCCGAGACGACAATTTCTTGAACACGCGAGCTTTCAACCAGCAGGGGCCATAAGTTCAATAACACGAGACGCGGGGCAGAACAAATACAGTGCTGAAAAGTGGATTTTTCCTCTGAGCCACAAAATTTTTGATGAAAGCCCACTATTTCGAAAAAATCTGCAGTTGAGAACTTGTTCGCGAGAAAAACTACCTAACGTGATGGTAGTGAGAGAAAATTTTCCTCGGCGCCATGTCTAACCTTGCTCTGCTTTCAGCTTGACTGATGGATGATTTGATTCTATTGGGATTTCAGGCTGCGATGATACGAATGTCTACTGTGGGGCATGGGCCTTGAAGGAGCTGTGCAATCATCCAAATCACAAAGGATGGATGTTAAAAAATTGTCGAAAGAGTTGTAATTTCTGTGAATTCCGTCGATGATCTTAAATTAATACTAATTTGTAATGAAAATAAAGGTATTTGAATATCTGTTACACATTTCAAGGAAGGACATCTGGTAACCGTACCTCTCAATGCCTGACCTCTTCACGAACTCATGCTTCGGGATTGTGGAACGTGTGTGTGCATCGTAACATCCGAGTTGAAGCGTGTGCGGCGACAAAGGCTTTGCAGGAGTAGCATTCGCACCAGGACTCAACCGATTCAACGAGGCAGTGCTGCATCGTGCTAACAAAACTAGCTAGGAATTAGGGGTATGTGGCAAGAGAATCGTAATTCGCCGCGCCAGTGGGCGTCGCGTGCGACGTCGCGCCCGCTAATGACGACGATTTTAGGTGGTATTGGTCGAGAATAGACAATGTATGACCAAAAATAGACATAAGTGTCTACCATGTCCTTGTCTACATGAAATCCGATGCTCCAATCGAAAGGGTACGGCAAATTGAGGAAACGTCGCGCCCATTGCGCGACGAAGCGGCAATTTACGATCCTCTTGCCTGTCTCCCAAGCATTAGGCTGCAATCATACTTTGCGGCAGCGTCCACCAGCGACCAATAGCGTCCACCAGCGTTCCGAGCGTCTGGCAGCGTCAGCGACTAGGAAAGGTGTAGATATCCATCTAGCGTCTGCCAGCGTCCACGAGCGACCGGTAGCGTCTCGAGGCGTCTACCAGTGATCAGCAGCGTCCGGGAGTAGAGTGTATGGGGTGATAGGGGGGTCCAGTTATCTTATACCGCGCCATACTCTATCAGCAGTCTGCTACCCTCCTATCTCCCCATACTCTACCAGCTGTCTGCTACCCTCCTATCGCCCCATACTCTCCACTCCCGGACGCTGCTGGTCGCTGGTAGACGCTGGCAGACGCTAGATCGATACCTATACTTCCCTAGCCCTCGAGACTGCTGGTCGCTGGTGGATGCTGGCAGACGCTGGCAGATGCTAGATCCATATCTATACTTTCCCAGTCGCTGGTGCTGCCGGACGCTCAGAACGCTGGTGGACGCTACGCAAAGTATGAACTCGGACCTTATTCTACCGGTCTGCCGCGGTGTCGCGGCAGGGAATGAGCAATATATGCCTATTTGACGTCACCTCCACGTCACACAATGCACATAAAACGTTTAGAGCACTTTCTAGCAAGTTAACCCGACATACTGTTACCCTGTTAATCAATTACGTCCTGATGCAGATGCACGTATGGTTTTATTTGTGATCGCCCTCGCCATAACGTGTGGATGTACTAAGTCCTCATCATTGGCGAACCGGTGCGGGCGCGTCAGTGTGGCGAACCGTGGGTTGCGCCGTCAGTGTGGCTGCCTCTTGCGCCGGTGCCAAAAGGGTTTCGGTTTTCTGCACCTGTTGCTGAAGCGGCAAGTGACATGACTGTATTATATCCTTCGTATTACTTGTTTTCTACCACTTTTTGTCGCATACGCGTTTCAACAAAAGGCTGAGAATGGCTTCAACACAAAAGCTAACTTTGGTACTACCGCCACGTACGTTTGAACGCAAACAGCCCCTTGATCAAATTGTCCGTCTGTCGTGGTTGCGTTGAAAACATCAGCATGGGCATTAAAACGACATTGAAACTACGCCGATAATTTCCTTTGCCTGGGTGGAAGAAGATTGGTGTGTTTCGGCATAGCCGATATGAGGACTGTCGATTTGGGAAGCCTGATCTACCTTTCTGTTACTCTTGCTTCAAGCACTTTGGTGGTGTTGCACGCTTGGTGTTAATCAGTGTGGGATAGAAACCGCTTTCAAAGCTCGCTAAAGAAAACATTAAATCGAGGTGGTACTGCGTTCGAATAGCCTCATCGCTTTGAAAATTTGAGAGCGACCAAGGCTGGGGGGGGGCTTGCTTGTAGTTGGCCACATTCCCAACTACTACTTTTCAACTTAGGAATATTTTTTTCACAAAACCTAGCTACATTAGAGAAAGTCACATTGAAGTAGAAACAAACATTACTAGCGGAAACTTAGAGGCCAGAGTTGAGAGCGGCGCATTGGCTTGGATAGTTTTCACCAATATTATGACGGGACATTCTCGTTAAACAATTCGCCACCGAAACGTAGTTGCGTACTGCCAATACACTGTACTGACCCTGAAGTTTTCTTGTCAGCACTAAGAAGCCAAGTCGTACTTTGCAACTCAGAGACCTGGATTACCTCTCCAATGTAACTACCAGTCTGTAGCGAACTGAGTCTGAACTGTAGTTGCACCAAACTGGTGCCAGATGGTATCGTCACGAAAAATGTCATGTCAGTAATCAGATCACTACTTTTTATGTCTAGTGATGGTGACGTTTTTCGCTTTTTCAATCACTAACCAGGGAAGTCCGCCAACTTTGCCATGGAACTTTGAATGGAGACCTGGGTAGATCGATAGAGTCTATAAGGTTATTTACAAATATAGATAGCAAAACTGCAACCTGCATTTCACAAGCAACTTATGAGCAGGTAAAGTTTGTAATGGTGCAGTAGGGTGGAGGCTTGGTGGTGAGCTGTGAAGCATAAGCGAAGAATCGCATACGTCAAATCGTACCTGTGAAGCGAGAACGTTACCACTGAATCACCACCACTCGATGCGACGTATGCGATTCCTCGCTTATGCTTCACAGCTCACACCGGATCCTCCACCCTACTGCACCAGTTAAAAAGTTTACCTCGCCTCCATAGTTGCTTGTGAAATGCAGGTTGCAGTTTTGCTATCTATATGTGTAAATAACCTTATCGATCTTATCGATCTACCCACGTCTCACTTCAAAGTTCCATGGTAAGTTGGCGGACTTCCCTGGTAAGCATGCAGTGAAATTTCATGCGATAAGTCGGGAAACCACTTGTAAAAGAATTATTCTGCCGTCTGGTAAGTTAAAATAATTCGGTTTTTATAATGTACATTATTACTTCAATTTGAGACTTAGCTAGAAAAAAGCGTTGTAAGCGTAGTATGGTCAACGTGCGACATGATATATCTCGACCTAGGGGTTCTATATTTTGGCATACGCTGCGCATATGCACATACTTAAAATATAGAAAAAAAAAAATTTGAAGCATCCTCCAGACGAAAGGAAAACTTTAAGGTGGAATGTGCCCACGAAATTCCTGCTCCATACTTTTGAAGTTGCAGTATATGCAGCGTTTCCGCACAATTCTCGTGGTGGTACTGGCGTAAAGTTCAGTGTTATACGTACGTCCATTGCGGAGTTACAATTAACTGGGCACCGCTTTGGTTACGGTAGAGGGTAATACTGAAGTTAGCTTCTTGTGGCTTCAACAGTGTGCACACTCATGCTGGCTGACACGCCCCAGTCCGCAAACCACGAGGACCGTAACGTCCCATAATCTCATGCTGTTGGATCCGTTTAATCCATCAAGCGAAAACCAAGAGGACGATTTCGCAACGATTGCACACCTTAGGCAGCGTTCAGACTTGTAGCGCTACAACTGCAGCGCTACGATCGTCGCGCTACAGCTGATCGCGCTATGATCGTCGCGCTACAGCTGTCGCGCTACAGCCGTCGCGCTACAGCGTCGCGCTACAGCTGTATCCAGCTTCCTTTTATATTTTTTCTTTCTGAATTCAACCTCTTTTGCCATATTTATCTGATGCTGAGCTCTTTTCTACTTTACCGCATTTTTTTACCACATTTTAATAATGGAATGAAAACAATTTCGCAATCGGGATCAACACGAGGCACCAATGCAAGACATCGAGCAAAGAAATCAAACATCAGTAGCAACCCTAAAACCAAATAGAGTCGGAAACGAAAATAAAACCAATTATCATAGTGCTCTGTATCAAAAACTATATAAAAATGTGATAAAAAATGTGGTAAAGTAAAAAAAAAAAT